AAACTTCAGGGAAACACAGGAACAGAGCCCAGTGGTTCTCCTTGTTACTGAAGTGTCAGATGATGTCACATCGCTTCACAGTCAAATTCCCCATTTCAGCCGTGCTCAGCCAACTAACAAGCATAAATCGTTCTCACACCAGATGCTCTTAGAAAGTGCTTTGCATATTTTATTTGCAGCAAGCCCTAGGAAAAAAAAAAAAAAAGTAGTTCATGTATTTAACATACAGAGATTTGCTGCTGTAGCAATATGGCCACTTTCACACCAAAGAATCTTTTGAAAATGCAAAATGTGAGAACAGCTCTGAGCAGTATTTTGAATCACTAGTATTCTTTTGCAGCTTTTGAAAACAAAAATTATCATGTTCAGTAGTCTTGGTAACAGCCATGTGAATTTAATTTTAAAAGCATCTATCTATTACAGGCCCTGGTACAAAAATTAAGGATTCATTATCTCTTAGTTTGTCAAGTACCACACACTCTAAAAAGGTTTGAGAATAGACTCAAAATAAGGGGCAAGTTCAAGGAACTTATCTTTCCAACACAATTAATGATTCAGAAGCATTTTTATTTTTAAATACCTATCCATCTCTCACTGAATTCCAGATGGTAGATACTAAACAGAACTTGCACTCTTCTTTGTATAAAGCTCCTAATCATAAGAGATAAAAATATACATTTAGCTAAAAAAAAGGTGTGGCTTTGTATGTACATATGCATAATGTAAAGAGATACTCCACATTTTAAATAATGTTATGACTATATAAAATTTGTTAAAAGAATATATATTCAGCTTACCTTTTTTATTTTTTTTTCCTCCATTCACAGCACATCTCCCCTGTGTTTCTACTGGTGAAGCACAACCTGAGCACTTACCCCATGTCTGAGGCTCTCATGGTTGTCTTATTTTCCATAGTTGAAAATCAACTTTCTGTGGTGTAACTTCCAGCAGATTAGTTTTTTCAGTAATAACAACAACAACAACTTCTACCAAGGCCTTCATTGACTATTGTTTAAGGAAAACAAAAGCAAAATTAAAGGACCAATTGCCTTGTAGTTGTTAATTGAGTTTGGCTCAAATTTTTCATGATTATACTTGCTTCAAAACAATCAACATTTGGCCTTAAATCTGAAGGCTGAATTTAGAACAGGATGGTTTAGTAGAGCTCATCTTCAAATTACATACCAAACCCAAAAACCTGTTTCATGATGTCCTATATCCTTTTCAGGAACAGCTTCATCTGTGCTCCCAACATCACATGTATTATTTTTAAAAGACAATGCAAAAGCAGGTTCCTAACATGTACAATTTCTACCCATAGAAATCTATGTACACAACTAGAAAGAGAAATCCATATGCTAAGTGAAATTTAGCAGCATGCTCAACCCTGTGTGTGATTTAAAAATATTTTTTTTTAAGTGAAGCAACAGGCACAAAGGAGACAAAATAGCTGGCATTTTGAAGCCGACTGAGCAACAGGAAAACCCCAAGACAGATGACACTACAAACATGTCAAGAATATTGTGATACTTGATACAGAAAAGCAAGTTGTTTCCAAAATAAAGGTGTTCACACAAAGGTTTAAAAACAATGCAATTCTGTGTAAGAATATATATTACATGCTATTTATTTATGCAGCAAAATACTCTGTGCTGTTTATTCTTTTAGCACTGGAAAAATACAGCATTCAGTGAATTTCAGAAGGAAAACAAGATGATGAGAATTTTACCAAGAGCACCACCTGTAAGTCAGCTTTCCAGCCTGCAAAGTCAACGAAAGAGGTGCTGGCTTACACTTACCTGCATTATCACAGTATCGAGAGACGGAGCAAGAGATCAGGATGTCCCTGTGCTACACGCTGTGCAAAATGGAGACTCGGCCAACAGGCCACCTCCCAAACAGATGGCATCCCATAGAAAAGAGGAGCTGAGTGGGCACCAGTGGGAAACAGGGAGAATGAGGCAGAGTTGCTGCTGCTGTCCCAGACACTCTTCAAGTGTTTTTATCAACTTACTAAGAAATTTGTTGCTTTCAGTTTATGTTACTGCATAAACCAGAAGAGATTGATCTCAGCAGGGTCAAGCAAAGAGACTTATATCAGGCCAGAGCTTTCATTCAACTCAGAAAGGATTAATGAGTCACTGTGTATTTAAAAGTACATTTGAGTTGGCAGCATCTTTACAGAAAATATATCCAAAAATATGCAGACAAGATTTCATTAGCCATGCTCAATCACTTCTGAAAGCACAACCCTGATTCAGCCTTCAACTGTGGGATGAGAGCTGGTGGCTCCACCATTGCCTGGTGAAGAGCTGCTGTGGGCTGGGAAGGCCAGGAGAGAAACCCCTGCCATCACTTCTCTGTGAACAAGCTAATGCTTTGAAAGCAAACAAGCCTCTTCACACCAAAGGCTGAAGCTAAATAAAATGACTTATCTTTTGGGGGAAAGCAAACAAACAAGCAAACAAACCCCAACAAATATGCTGTCCCACACTTCATTTTCAGAGACCTTTGTCAAGGTATTTCTTATGTTTCACTCTCTCAATTGTGAATCCTTGAAACCTAGAAAACAAAGCCCCTTTGCTTTCCAGCCCCTTTGTACCAAGCACTGTAATGACAAGAAATTTGCAATTATTCAGAGGCTGAGTTTTATGAGAGCTACTGAAGTACATGCCATAAATGAAGGGGAAAAAAAAGAGAAAGAAGGGTGAACCTTGCTGGAATTAATCTTTTTCTAAAACTTTATCGTTCAAATGGGTGTGCCCTGTCTGAGGATGCACTTGCCTGCGTCACCATCTCCACCTCCAGCTGTAAATACAGACAAAGCCTCTGGCTTTTTGAACTCTCTTCCTCATTCCTAGACAATTCTCACTGGTGCTCTAACTTCAGCAAGGAACTTCTGCATTTGGACACATGGAAAAGGAAAAACCTTGCATTAGCAACACAAGCACTGCTCTCAGTGATGAGGAGAGGCTGCAGTTCAGAAATAATTTTTTTAAATACCTGAAGTAGTTCAGGGTTTCTCTTAACTATGTGGGTATATGCATACATGGCTTTTAAAGGCAGCTGTACACAACACTGAATTGCTAGTGTTAAGAGTTCACATGTACTATCTAAAAAAGTTATGCAACTCCACAGCTTCAGCTATCAGAAAATGAAAATAATAAAAAACCCCAAACAAACAAAATCCACCACTCACCCAAACCAAACGTTTGTATCAATGTCAACACATTGAGCCATGAGTTGCTATATGCAGGCTGTGGGAGTACAATTTAAGCAAGCTTGATCTTTGGTGTTAAGAGTGACAGTCAGAAACCCAGTCTCTGGGCATGTGAAATTTTATTAAAAATTAAGAAATCCAAAGCATGAGCAAAGTATCATGATGCCCAGCATCTTACTTGCTTAGTATTGTTGTCCAGGAACCAGCAGACACTGGCAACCATGATGCCACACCTGAACTATGTATCTGTACACATTATGGTAAAATGTTGCATCTAAATGTATATATACAACATGTAAATAAAATTTAAAAAACAACTACAAAACAAAACAAACCCCGAAACAGTGAACAGAAAAGGAAAACAAGTACATTTAGGGATGTTACAGAATCATATACAAGCTAGAAGGTGCCAGAATTTCAAACAGAAATATTGCCCATATTTTAATAGCAGTAAAAGAAAACGTAAGGGGATCACTTTTCCCTTAATCCTGCCTATGAGCCTGCATTCTTCTCAGAACAGTGTAGGTTTTGTTTTCTCTTCAGAGATATTTTTGAGAGGGTTTTTTTGGGTGCTGCAACAGGGGAGTTTTGTATCTTAAAAAGCTATCTTAAATACTTTGTTTCCTTTCTGTCTACAAAGAGTGCAGAAAAGCATTATTAAAATAACAACAAATTTAACAAGTTTGTTAGTTGATTAACTTTAGATTGGTTAGTCATTAAAATGTGATGGTTTCCACTGAACAAAAAAATGCAACAATGAAATCTTACTGTTCACATCTGGCATACGAGTTTCCCCCTTCCCCCTTTATTTTTTTAAGAAGTTCTGGATACAAGGAAGCAGCTTACATGAAACAAAATTTAGGCATCTTTGAGGATGGTTGATTCACTGCTTAAGGCTTACAAGAGCTGGAGGAAGGGCAGATATAGACTAAGGCAGACTGTGGTTTCTTCAGGCATTAACATTCCAGGACATTGCA